GGGCGCTGGCGTGGAGCCGGTGCTGCGGTGGTTCACCGCGCCATGCCCGGTGGACGGCAGGAGCGCCCTCTCTTCTCCGGGGGTGGATGTCCCGAGGCTGGGCAGCCTGCTCCGGCCGGCCAAGCGGGCTCCCTCCGGAGGACACCCCTCTGCCCACGCGGGACAACGTGCGCTCGTGCTCTTTTTGAGGCCACGGGCTCCATGTGTGCTAGTGGGCCTTTTTGTGAGGCAGAGGCCAGGCCGGTAACTGCTGGTGCCGGTCTGCCAGCCCCTGGGCAGCACGTGGAGCTCGTCAGCGCTGCTGGTCCTCCGGCTGCGGGAAGGCTGGATGTGGGCTGGGAGGAGGAGGGAACCGGACTGGTGGGGGAGCAGCCTTTTCCCCTTGTGCAGGGAGCAGCAGCCTTGTCCTTAGTTAGCCCAGCAAGAGCTTTCCCTGTCCTCTCTGGCTGCACAGGGGTACAGTTTGCTGCCTGACTGGGGACCTACAAGGGTTAAAAGGCCTCGGTCCTCCCTGTAGCAGCGACCTAGAGCCCTCATCTGGGAGGGAGAGGCTCCTCTCGCCTGGACATGATGTGTTGCTGCTCTTTGGGTTGGAAGTTTCACTGCTCAGGGTTTTTTTGTTTTTAACAAAACACTGGGAACTATTTGTCCTGAAGAACATGCTGTAGTTAGCAAAGTTAATGCACCTCGGGTACCTGGTTTATAACAGTCAGTCTGTAGTGTCTTTTATCAGAATCATCATTCTCAACAGCTTACAGTATTTGACAGATTACAAGGACATTGCTGGTATTAAGTGTCATGTTGAGGAGGCCCCAAATGGTGGATCTCACAAACGGGGAGGCTTCGTGCCCTTTTCTCCTGCGTACGTAGCAGGGCATCAATGCTGACTCCCGGTGTTGCGGCAGCTAACGAACTTAGCAGCGGCATCTCTCCTACCTGTCTGCTGTTGATGGAGGAATGATCGTTGGTTCAGCTGAAAGTTGTACGCTGATGTAACACAGCCAGACAGTTTGGATAAATAAAACATGAAAGATGAATCAGCAGCAGCCACTTCATCTACCATTTACTGTGCCAGGACCAGTTAACTGATACATTCAGGCTTCGCAGCATCCAGCATTGCTCTGAGATGCCCTGGCCAAAGAGGGGAGGGAGGCACATGGGGGCTGCCTGGCCTCGGCCACTTTGTGTGAGTGAAGGACATGTGCCACGCTTGTGTGTGGTGGGTTGGGGCTGCAGCCGTGGTGGCCTCCCGGTGAGGACCTGACTATGAAATGCAGAACCTCCAAAAAATAAACTCAGACCTGATCCTGCCCTTATTTCAGAGGCTGCAAATTTAAATATGTTTTAAAATACTTCAGTGTAATAATTGGAGAGTAGAGGTTTGCCTGAAATACTGTCAGATAAAAACTAAAGGAGGTACTTAGCAACCAGTAACAGTAAAACACAGTGACATGGTTTGATGGCTTAGGATGAAATTTTAATTGTTCTATATTGCATTTCTGTTTATAAAGGCTGTGCAGTAACTAAAGTGTGTTTTTCTTCCATACGTGAATCCAGATTATTGGCAGCAATGCTGGCTTTAACGAGAATTGCAAAGAAAATCTGGTCTCTCAACAATTGTGGAGGCTGTCATTGTGAATTGTGTTTTGAGCTCTTCAAGCCTTGATTAATAGGACGAGGCATCAGTTCAGAATTCATATGGACTCCAAATGAAGTTCTTTGTTCCAAATGGCCTGCTCTTCTGGAGGGCGCCTGTGTTTGGAGCTAGAACCATGTCTATTCAAGACTAATTAGCTAATGCATGTAATAACTTTGGCTGCATCTGCATGAACCGTCTTCCCATAATTCCTTCTGCTGTTACTGTCTCAGAAATGTCATGTGGCTGTTGTAGGGTGTGTGAGAACTGAGGTGACCTGCTTAGTGGATGGGTTAGTTAGTGGAGGTAGTGCTTCAAACTGCTGTATTTCCAAAGGGAAGAGTTTGGTTGCGCTTCTGCGGATCCAGAAGTATGGCAGCAGATGAGGTGTAAGAATCTGTAAATGCTGAAAGTTGTCTGGTGTCTCCTAGTCAGTTATCGTGTAGTTCCTGCAGAGGGGACAGTTGCAAGTGTTGGCTTGGTACCTCCTTACCCTTTTTAAAGTGGG